AAGAAACTGAGGATAGGGAGTTAGGGTGTTAGATAAAGGCATACATTGACGGGCAGTGGAGAATGTTTAAGACATTAGTGGATAGACGATAATTGAATACATTTTAGTCAGTTGGAATAGGGTGAAGGAGAGATGCATGTCTGACATAGCCCACGTGACCTCTTTAAATTGTTGTTCTAGATGATGTGATGGGGGGATGCTTGGGAAGGCAGAGAGCGGCAGAACTAGACATGGGGATCCATGTTTAAGCTGTTGGCCTCCCAGACAAGAGATGGTGGGTGGTTAGGCTAGAGCAAGAGGAAGGGGAGATAGGTGAATGATGTGTTCTTGGCACGTTGGGAGGCATCACTGATGGGATTTCAAGTTGGATTGTTTATGGGAAGAAACGTAGGATGATGCCTAAGTTCCTGGTTGGATAAGTACAGTGTATGGGGTAGAATTAAAGAATCAAGCTGATAGAAGACGTAGAGAGGAAATTACGAGGGTATGGATTGTCAAGTCAAGCTGGGCTTCAAGTTGTTCCACAAGCCATCATAAATCATACAGGAGTAGAACAGTTCCTTTGAAGGTGTCCTAGGCTACTGGGACCCTTCTAGGGGACAGAATCCTTTCTTTCCTTTCATTCCCACAACTGTCTGACTTTCACCAAACACCTTACCCAGCATCTTTCAAGAACAAAGGCAAGTTTCAGAGATCCAGTCTTAAGCAATATTTAGGAACAAAAGATTTTTTCTAAGCAACATGTTATCTTCAGAGGTGCAATTCTGAGCCTGGCAAAGAAGACGTGCCCTGTATTAGCGTGTGCAATGGCCTGGCTTCTTAGAGGTTCTAGCATTTCTTCATCCATATTAAGGTCGTTTGCATTATCTCAGCCCTACCAGAACTGTCCCTGGTTATTCTGGAGGTCATTCAGGCTGCTCCTTTTTCCCTCACATGCTTGATGGGACTTTTGTAGCTTGGAAAATGTGGACAGAACTGATAAGTGGATGAAGAGGTCAGAGTTCACCACCATATCTTTGCCCAGTCTTGACAATCAGTGAGGTGTCTGCCAGTACATGGCTTTCTTCTGTTTGGCTGGCTCAGTGATCTGCACAAGCACATCCCTGTAAGAACCTTTTGCCGACAAACATACAGCATGTGACCACATTAACCTCTGCTGTCTTAAAATTCGGAGTCGCTTATTGCTGCCCCGTAACTCAGACCATCCTGACTAACCCAGAGTAAACAGACCGGAAGGGTTTGTGTGATCTTTGAAATTTCACAGAAAAAACTGTCTTCTGGGATTTAAGCTCAGGTACATGTGAGGTCTTTTGAGACTGTCAAAGAACTATGGGTATATCCACAGTACATCTCAACTAGACATAACAATGGCGGCCACTGAGGTCTTCCCACTGGTGGCAGGGTTCGTGCTAATGATTTTGTATGCATTATTTCATTCCCATTCCAAGGTGATATAAACAGTAAAAGGACCTCAACTAATCAACATTCCAGGTGGGTGAACTGGATCAGAAAGGGTTAAAGCAGAGGCAGATGCAGGAGGAGCTCCATAGCCCTCACTGGATCTCAGACATTCTGCTATCAAGGTGTGCAGAAACATATGAGTGTGTGTATATGTTTGTGAGTGTGTATGTGCATGTGTGTGTGAGTGTATATGTATGTTGGGGTGGGGAGCTTTGATCTACCAGTGAACCATTCAGTTCTTTAGTTAAATCCATCTGAGTGAGAGTGTTTCTGTGCTCTTCAGGCAGAGGGCCTTCATAAAGGACCTGTTGTCTCAGGGCTAAGGACATGGCATCTCAGCCCTCACTACCAGGCTATGTAAGACTTGGGGGTATGCGTTCTAGACTCAGAAAGATTTGAATTCACACGAGGATCCTGCCACTTAACTACATTCACCTGAATGTCACTCTTTGCCTCAGTTTCCCCTTATAGAAGATAGACTTATAAGTAGTTCCTAGCTTGTGGGGCTGTGGGAAGGATGGGTCCCTCATTTCTGACTTTGGGATCAGGTCCTTTCTGTCTTCTTCCCTGCTGTCCACTGTATATTGGGGAAATGTTGGCTCAGGCTCCCCAGCAACTTGTCCTTGACTCATAGGAAAGGTAGACGGTGTTTAGAGTGTTGAGAAAGGAAAGGCAGGCTCTGCTCCTCTTGTTGGGTGGTGGCTCTGTGGTTTAGGTTCCTCTTGGCAGCTTGTTTCCTCTGTCTGTCCAGACCTTGGGAGCATAGTTTGTGCTCTTGTTAATCTCTAGTTGCCTCATAAGCCTTTAGTTGTTTCAGCAATCCCTGGGTTTAAGTGTTTCTTTGTGTGAAAGTCCTACTCTCAAGCTCTCTGGCATGGACTGTTCCCCCCCCCCCCCCCGCCCCATGGCTCAGAGGCCAGCCTGAGACAGTGTCTGTAGTATGCACAGAACTGTGCTTGGTATGTAGCAAGTGCTGCATAAAGGGAGCATACAAAATCAACCTACTGCTCACAAGCTCTGTCACTGACAACTTGCCCCAGGCATGCTCCTGGGAACATCAAAGCTCCCAGGCCACAGCCTCCTCCTCCGTCCAGAGTGCTCACCTCTGCAGTCCTACCTGTCTGTTGGCTCTTACATAATCTAACAAGCTAGGAGAGATGTAGACTCCATACTATTCCTATCACAGGTAACAATTGTTAAGATTTCATACCTCTTACTGTGGCTTATTCATTTGGTTCTGACTTTCTAATTCCCATCTGCAACTCCCTGATCCAGACTGGGCCTCGGCACAGCTCTCTGGCCTCTGTCTTCCCTCTGGGTCTGCCTCGCTTCTTGCAGGTATTCTCTGTGCTCCTCTCAAGGGGAGGTAGTTTTCACCATGGGTACATGAGTGGCCCTCCACCTAGAAAACCTCTCTGATTGTTACTGGGGCTTCTGGCTTTCCTAAGACTCTCAGCTCTGTGACGCTCTTCACTTCAGTTTAGATGAGTAAAAGGTCAGCAGAAGAGACCACAGGCGGTGCTCTCATGGCACAGCGATCAGAGATGGCACCGAGGAAGGCGAGGCTCTCACAGGGTTAGAGGACACAAGGTCAGAGAGATGATCATACAGGAAAATACTTTGGTTCCATGGAGCAGACTATAGCTAGATTAACTCTACGCTGACCTGTTTGTTTAGATAGGTTTCTCTGTTCTTGACGTTTCAGGAATGGATATCTTCCCAAAGAGTTTTTTCATATCCAGGACATTGACAGGCATGTTTATATGAACTAACTTATTTACTTACTTAATTTATTTATATTTATTCTGAGATGGGGTTAGGGAGCCCAGGGGAGTCCTGAGCTCACTCTGTAGCTAAGTGTGACTTTGAGTTCCCAATTCTTCTGCCTCTGCCTCCTGAAGGCTGAGATTACATAATGTGCCATATAATGCCTAAGTTGGATTATCTCTTAATAGAGGAGCAAATAATAATGTGTCTGTTCTCTATCAGAAAGCTAGATAGTAATCATGTGATCTAGAAATGTCATGTTTAGAATGTATCATGTCTCTATCCAGGACCAGAGAAAAGATTCTGATTTCATCCTTAGGAGCAGTAAGCAAAGCCCTGCAGCTGCAGTCCTGAAGCTGTTGTTTACCAGGGCAGGAGTCACTGTCAGTGATCCTCCAGCCTGGTAATATCTAGTTAGTGACCTGACCATCGCTCGCTGGTCTCCTCGCTGTGCTGTGCTGTGCTGTGGACTCTTCAGTCCTTATTTTCTTTATTTTCTTTTATCCTTTCCACTCTTGTGTCAAGATCCACCAGACTCTTCACTCGCCAGGACCAGACCCATGCCTGACATTTTCATTTTTCTGTCACCAACACTTAGTAAGATGCCTGGTACAAAACAGACTCCTTGTGGGTTGTGAATGAGTGAATGTTGAATTAACTCATCTTTAAGCCATTGCCCAGAATTCAAAAGCGAGCATTTTTAGAAGTCTGCTCCTACCCCTTACCTGAGTATGCATGCCGCACGGGGGACCAAGGAGACGCCCTGGCTCATTTTTGCTGGATCTCCTCATCCCTGCCTGGGCCTTGTGTGCGTTTAAGAGCTTTATTTCTTCTGTGACAAGCTCTACCATGTGGACGTTCCCAAAGGCTCCAAAGATACATTGTATCCTGGAGGCCAGTTTACACTACAATCAGCCACTGTTCTGTCCACCTCAAAACTTGTAAAAAAAAGTATCATTTGAAACTGGGTAAGTGGTTTGGGGGCTCTTGGCTGGGCTCGGTTTTCATGGTGCAGCTTTTTGGAGGCTCTTGAATTTTCTAGGAGTCAGAATAGTCATTACTTGCTGCTCAGAACTGTTCAGATTTGGTACGTGATTCTTCAAACCAACCATGATGCAATGGGTATATTAATCCAAAGGTATTGTGTAGTTACAGGTTTTCAGCTTTCATCACTCTGAACACAGGAATCTTCCTTTGAGTTTATTTGGAGCTTAATGTACTTATTCATTTAGTGATGAAGCAACTTTCAGTGAAAGTGAGGCCCTTGCAGTGTGGTGAACGTGTTCAAAGTGATTCAGGGATGTTCACTATGGCCTGAGGTAGCTTCTGAAAGGTACCGAGTCCACCCTTTCCACTGCCAGCCCTCAGCCTGCTAGGCAAAGCTGATTTCCAAAGTCCTTCTCTTCTACGTGTTTTTTTTCCCTAGTGGTTGAATTAATCTAGCAGCACGAAACTTGCCCACAATTCAAGTCAATGCAGATGTGCCTTTGATGGAGAGTGACAGAATCCTGTCACACTAGTGGTTTACATAGGTGGTGGGGGTGGGGGAGCTGATGAAATCGGGACAGTGGAAGCTGGAAGCGGCAATGCCTGCTGTGTCCCTTTAACTGGAAGAGCAGAGCTGGGGCAATCCTCGCAGTTGCTTTTCTTTTAGGTCACATTGCCCTGGACTAGTAGGTCATGTGATCTTCTTGGCTGCAGCAACAGTTGCAATATTCTGGAATGAGATTATCATAATTGGCTTAGACAACCTTGTTTCATTCCTTTCTCAGAGCCTGGCAAAAGATCACCCTGAACAAAATCAGAGGGAAAGAAAAGAGATTAAAGCAGCGGCTCTCTCAGGGAGAGAGACTAGGGGAATACTAGAAGCCACAAGCCAAAGAGCTAGAAGCTGATTTGAATCTTTTGGGGAACAATTATTAAACAGGAGTTGAGTAAGTATTCCGGACTACACACTCTAGAGAAGGAGCTGCACTGTCTTGTTAAAGCTATATTTACAGCAGAGTGCCTGGCATAGAGTAGCAGCTTTATATTTACTGACTAATTGTATACCCCAAAAGGAGCCTGGAGAGAAGAGGAGGAGAAGAAAAAAACATGGGCCTCTTCATCTTTCAAATGATTTCTTCTAATAGAAATTTCTAGAATAATTGTTATATTTTAGATCAAGCAATGCCATGGCTACCTGCATGATTGGATTTTGAATTCAGTTACTACTGTTCTTTTGTGGAGAAGGGTCCATTTGTGGATCAGTGTACAGGTGGATCAGTAGCAACTGGAACAAATGTCCTCAGGATCCTTTAGATCACTGAGAGAAGCCTTCTAAAGAGGGATTATTAAATAGGCAGTGTAAATCTTGGGGAAAATGCAGATCTTAGTGTGAGGAAGGCTTGAGTTTCAGTCCCTTCTCCTCTACCTTCTGTCTCTGTGTGGTTAGACTTCCTGCTCTGGTCATACATGTTAGTTATACATGCTATAAACCACACACCATATTGTTATTTTTGTTGTAAGTAGTCTGTTATCTTTTAAAGGTTATTTTAATAAAAAAATTACTTTCAGGTCCTTAAGGTCCTGTAACACCTTTGTGTAGATTCAGATTTCAATATATAGCATTTTGTTGTTGTTTGTTTTGAAGTCCGTAACATTCTTACAGCCTGGGTCTTCCAGATATGAATTCTTTTAGTGTTCATTTTTCTCCCTCCCTCAGGGACACTAATCGAATGCACCCACCCCAAGTTCCCTGATGCCATCCCTGTCTATTACTTCTTTCTGGCTCCCCAGTGCTGTTTTCCACATAGTTCTGACATGATACTTTAATTTATTTTACTTTCCAGTAACATTTAACCTGCTGTTAACTCATCACAGATGTGTATGTATGTGTTTATATGCTTTTTAAAAAAATCTCAATGCTTTTATAAGGTCTGTGAGTTTGATTTGGATTTACTTTTATTTTTTGAAGATGGGGTCTCTTGTGGCCTAGCTGGTATTACATTCACCTTATGGTGGAGGGTGAGTTTGAACTTCTGACCCTCTGCCCTCTACTTCCAATGTGCTGACATTCAAGGTCTGTATCACCACATCTATTCTTATGTGGTGCTGTAGGTGGAACGAAGACTTCACGTATGTTACCTAGGCAAGCGACCTACCTACTGAGCCACATCCTCTCATAGTCTGGATTTGGCTGAGTCTTTTTCCACGTCTCTCCTCTACTTTCTGTGAACTCTATTACCAGCAGCATTCTCGATTTATGGTCTTCCCATTTCTGCTGTGCATCACTCTTTCCTGTTCTTTTTTTCTTTTCTTTTTGTATGTCTGCTTAATAATTTCAATTTAACAACACTTGAGAATTTCACTTTGTGAGGTATACGATATTTTAAAAATTTTATTCCCTTTAAGTATCTCACGCTTTATTCTTGGATATTTTGGTGGTATTGAGTTTGTTTGCTTGTTTTTGCAGTTGTCCAAGGGATGGCCGTGGGACTGGGTTTTAAGGCTTGTTAAATACGACCATGAAATGACTTTATTGTAGGGCTGATTTTGCTCTGCTATTGAGATGAGACCATTTTATGTCATGAATAATGAGGTTCCAGACTCTTTGAAGGTCAGGCATTTGAATGGTCTTGTATGACCACTGAGAATCTTTTAACTGTGACTTGTAGGAACAAGAATGATCCTCACCTTGTGAAAGCCACAGTGAGTGTTCCTTATCTCTTCATGTTTCTGTGCTCTTCTTCCCTGCATGTGGATAACTTTCTGACATGTGCAGGCTAGTTCACTGAAGATTGGACTGAGCTCTGCGGGTCTCCACGATTCCTTTTGCCACAGCTTTCTCCTCTCTGGTACTCAGCTCCAGCTTTGACACCCATAATCCTTCAATTCTATCTTCTCATTTCAGTCTACCTAAACCTCCCTGAGTCCCTTCTTTCTGTACTGAAGCCTGATAACTCTCTCTAGGTGATAAGCCAATGCAATTAAAGGCTCGGCTCATTGTGCTCCTCCCCTTGGGCTGTCTATCTCAGGTACATGACATCTGATTTTTTAATGTCACTGTTTTATACTGCACTGTTTGGTTTTGTTTTTTGTTATATCAAATAAGACAGCAAGTTCACCCTTGTTACTCCATCTTGACTGGCTAGACTGGTTACTATAAATCACTCTGCTGATAAAATAGATTGCTTAGGGGTGCCACCTGTTTCCAAAACAATTTTCATTATGTAACCAGAACTTAGCACGGCAACCCACATTCACATCCACAGCAACTCTTGTGCAAGAAGAGTCACTGTGACTGAGTTTTATGTAAGACACACTTTCCATATGGCTTATATTGTAGAATTTCTCTGTCAGTCTTTCTAATTCATTTCTCCTCTTCTTCTTCATCAGTCTAAGGTTTATCTTCATGTTTTCCTTCCATGCTTTTGTTTTACTGTTAGGGCCCCGTATCCTGTGCATAAAATTTCACAAAGTTTTGGGATATTACTCGTTGTAGGTAATACACACTCCTTGAGAGCCTTAGTGAAGTGTGTTTGTTTTTTTGATAACATACATGTAAGGTGAAATCAAGGCAAGGTCCTTGCTTATTCTATGACGCATGCCCACTTCTACTCTCTGGGGTTGTTTCCCAGAAGAGAATTATTTGCTTTGCAGGATGAGTTATACAAAGAGAAGTGGAAAGAAGTGGAAAGGAAATTCATATGTCTCAAGTTAAGGAAATCTAGTTTTTCTTGTTGTGCCCCAGCTTCAAGTATTTATTGGGTGCTTATTATAACATATTAATTAGGACCCTGATGTGAGGCACCGCCACCATGGGTATGTAACCCTCTGGCAATCTGACACCACTGGATGAGGACCTGAGACAAAGTGCTCTGGTTAATCTTTGAGATGTCACAGGAGGATGTGATAATAGAGGGACAGGGTGAATAGAGAAAGCTTGGAGAACCAGTTCAGGGACTACAGAGTGCTGAGAGGAGAGGCAGAAGCACAGGAGAAGGGCAGTACCTCAGGACCACAGCGGGGACAACTGCTGGGGAACAGTGGGAGAGGAGAGGCCTCTCTGTTGTATGCCTGACATGCTGGGCCCAGGCATTTGGATTTTGGTTACTATGGACCTGTTTTTATTGGGTTATCTGTACAAAAAGATTTGACATGAGGAGAAGGTTGGGCTGATAGCATGTAAGACAGACAAGAACCAACAGCAGTGACTTGAGGACGGAGACCATGTCATCTCTGTGCTCATCATCTCTGTGCTCCCAGATCCGACGTCATGTCTAGTGTGTGTTGAATGATGTACCTTCTTCTTTTTAAATTGCCGATGCTCTTTGATAACCATCATCAGCCTTGCCAATAATGTTGGCATATTGCAAAAGAGCCCCTTCCTGCCCAGTGTCGTTGCTTTGTTTAAATGGCTCAAGCGGGGTAAAGCTTGACTCGGACTTCTTCAAGCCATTTTTTCTAAAAAGGTATTTTAGTAGTAAATTCATATGTCCTAGTTTATGTGTATGTGTGAAGTGATATCAATGATTCATGACTGTAATATAAAATGGCTAGGTTGAGCTAATTAGCATACCATTATTTTACTTACCAGTTTTTGTGCTGAGAACATTTGAAATATACATTTCAACACCCTTAGGAAGACAGAACACGGTCATTTAGCACAATCACCGCATACACTGCTCTGAGCAATATACCTCAAAGGAAACCAGCTGAGTCTTCCTGCCTTGGCAGGCAGGTGGCTTTGTATCTTTCAAGCCTTACTTTGTCCATTCTTCATTTTTTTCGTCTCGGCCACTCAGACATTTCACAACGTTGCACTTTGCAATCACTGTCTCCTCATTCTTCACAAATTCAGCTTGGTCTCACACACAAAAGAGCAAGATCACGCACAAGCACCTAAACCCACGCAGCCCACATGCACTCCACCACAGGGCCTGGTGCTGGTGGGGGCGCCTAGGCTGAGGTCACACAAGGGAAATGACAGACAGAGCCACCGACCGATGCACGAAGCATGGCCAGTGCAGCCGTCAGGCTCACTCTCCATTCTCAACGTCCACGCCGTATCCTTCATCCAAGCGCGTTATGCAAGGCCGGGCGGCCAGCAGCCCCGACGTCACTGCCGCGCGCCGCTACGTCATCACGGCGCGTCGCTGCAGCAGGCGCAGAGCTGAAGCGCTGGCAGCTGTGGGCGCCCAGGCGCGAGCTGCCGGGCGGGTGGAGCGGAGCGCGGTGCGGGCTGCGGCTGCGGGACGCCGCTGGGCCGGAGCGCGGGGACAGGTGCGTGGGCGCCGCTCTCCCCTGGGCGCGTCCGAGGCTTTGCAAGAGTCCGGGGCGGACCCCCTTGTCCCCCCTGGAGTGGGCCAGGCTCCGGGAGGGGTGGGCACAGGGTTGCTCCAGGGACCCGGCTGCAGTGGCAGCACCCGCAGGGCTGTCATCTCCCAGGATCCTCCCTCCCGGGGGGAGGGAAACCGAGGCAGCAGGGGGCTCCGCGAGCAGCTGGCTCCTGGGACCGCCCGCTGACAGCAGCTTTGCGCGGTGTGGCTGAGCTCAGTGCACCCCACAGTGTCCCGGGGCGTGCTATGGAGACCCCTGCTCACCCTGCAGCCCAAGACAGCCGAGTCGGGTGGCATGCTGCCCATTTTCCATATGGGAAAAGCAAGGCGTAGCAGTTAACCAACTTGTCCAAATTCACACGTGTGGTGTGCAGTCTGGGGGTTGAACTCCAGAGGGGTCCACTTGCCTCTGCCTGTGGCCGGCTGTCAGATTTTGTATTCTGCCCTCCTCAGCACAGCTGTCTGGAGCCTGTGGGAAGTTTTCTTTTTCTTTTATTCTCCTCCCATCTCCTGTAAAAAAAATCTGGCTTGACCTCAAGTAAACCCTGTGGGGCGGAGGAGCAAGGCGTGGATGTCTGATGGCACAAGCCTCCTTTTCCTCTTTTGATCGCCTCATTTCTTTTCTCAGGCAGCAGCGTGCTCCCCCTGTTGTGTGGTCATTCTGAACCGGAAGTTGGTAGCTAGGGGGTCGAATCTTTGTTATACTACCAGGTGTGATGCTTTACTGGCCTCTGGTGTCAGCTGATTACTTACACTGAACGGTTAAGAACAGATGTTGTTTTGAGGCTAAACAGTTAACGGTGCAAATCCACGTGGGGATTGTAAAGAGTCCAAGTGTTAGAGAACACTGTTCTCTCACTGAAGGGGAATTCCGATTTTAAGAGAAGAATCTAATGCTACAGAGAAATAGCCAACAGCTAAAAGAATTAAATAAAGATTATGTAAGAAGTTTTAAAAAATTAAAACAAAAGCTGCCTTCATACATATAGAATGTATTACACTAAGTGAGCTTATGCTGGAGGTGGAAACCCGGCGCAGTGGTTAACAGTGCCCATGGATCTTTCAGAGGATCCGAGTTTGGTTCCCAGCACCCACATCAGGTGGCCCACAACCCAGCTCCAGAGATCTGATGCCCTGTATTGGCCACCTCAGACACCCATATGTATGTGGATATACATGCCCACATATTCGTAAATAAATCATAAAAAAGTTTTGTCTTTATCCTCTGAGGGATACTCAGTGATTAACAAAAGTGAAATAATTATTCATTGCAGGCCAGCATTATTACGGGTGCATTATTATGAAGCACCTTCTTTTTTACAACTGACTGTTCATGGCAGTTTTGCCCAGGAATCTGAAGGCTACAGATGCTGTATCCTTGTATGTTCAGGAAATACTGGGATATGAATGTTGACCTTTGTGGTCAGGGCAGCTTACAGGATGTGTAAACATATCAGGACAGATAAGCACTCTTCCACTCTCTACACTAGAAATGTCAGTTCATTTGATATCCTGTTACCGAGCAGAGTTGTGAAGAAATTAGTGTTTTGAGGCCCGGTGTTAAGTTTCTGGATACTTCCTTGAGTAGTGCTTATTTCTTACAGCACATGATTTGGGACTTCTACGTTGTGACATGGAGGAGTCTTCAGTGACAGTTGGCACAATAGACGTTTCTTATCTGCCCAATTCATCAGAATACAGCCTTGGCCGATGTAAACACGCCAATGAGGACTGGGTAAGTGTAAGAGAAACCTTCAGAACAGCTCACTTAAGATGTTTGCAGTGATGTCAAGTAGAGATTAGCCATCACAGAAACTGCTTCCAACTCTTAAAAGTGGTGTTTCTATAATCTAAGAAGAATTTAAAATTTTGTAGTAGTATTAATTGGGAAAAAAATGGATGGAAAATTTCAGAATGGTAATTATGTTAAAAAGCAAGTTTCTTGTATGGAGGTGTAAACAATAACCATTGTTTTGTGTAGTGTGCTTAAAAATTTCTTCCTTTTAGTATCTACCACACAACTTCTATTTAGTAAGCCCGAGTTTTATAATGGAAATGAACTCTAAAAACATTAAAACCAGGAAGCTTGTTTATTAAAGTAATCGAAAAGCATGCATTTTCTTGTGGTGTTACTATTTCAGCATTACATGGAGTGCTTAAAATACCTCAACAAAAATTTATATTAATTGGCTGTTTTGAAGAACATTGTATCAGTGAGATCTGAAAAACAGTGAACAGAAAGTTAAAGAATAATCTTAAACGGTAGAACAGGATTTGATTCTGGTCAAATGATGTGGCTGTGATTTAAATTCTATGCTTTAAATGTTCTTGGTAAGAGAATGTCATTAAACCTACTTTGTTTTTCTTCTAAACTATTGTAAGAACACCTGCTCACTGAGTCAGGCCTACATGGTCTTCCCGTGGGAGTAGTATGTGCTTTGAAAGGGTGTAAGGTTGACCGAGCACAGGGATTCAGGAGTCTAACGTCTTCATCCTACTGTCAGAAGTCCCTTTGGCCTCTGGGTTACTCTCTTCTATCTCTGCTTCTGTGAGGTCGACATTTTCAGCTTGTACTCATGAGAAAGGCAGTAGTTGCTTCTGCCTACTGGGTGTTTGTTCACATAGCCAGCTTCCAGCTTCTTTGGTTTTCCTTCCTCTTTGTGGCTGAATAATATTCCACTGGGTAATTATGGATGCCCTATTTGTCTACCCATTCATCCTCTGGTGAATATCACAACTTTGTTGATTAAACCTGTGAATGCTGTGTCGAGCATGTAGCAGCTGTTACAAACTACATTTGTTTTTAGAAAATCAACTTTTTCTTTTGCACTTTTTCCAAGTGATGATGATGGTGGAATAAGATACCTTACATGACCAACACTCAGGGCACGTACAATTACACTGCCAACAATGGGAACAGCGTCATTTCTATTCTATCTGAAATAGACCAAGAGGATCAAAACAATGCTTGCCATTTAGACACAATCTCTATCTTGTATTTACTAGGTTGACTGTGGGTTCAAACCTACCTTCTTCAGATCTGCAACACTGAAATGGAAGGAGAGCATCATGAGCCGGAAGAGGCCCTTCGTGGGAAGGTGTTGCTATTCGTGCACACCTCAGAGCTGGGTAAGGACTCCCACTCACCACACTTTTCTGCTGCAGAGGGTTTTCAGTTTTGTGGACTTTGTGTTTGGTCTTAATGGACTCAACTCTTTCAGAACCGAGACCCCTTTGTATAAACCAAACATTTCAGGTAAAGAAATGGACTTATTTTCTATTGCTGTTTATTTATTAAATATAACTGGTCTACAGTTAGGGGAAAGTCGATTTTTCTTTGAGTTCATAGAGTTGATGGAGTGCCCAGTACCTGTTAGGCTCTGACTTTTGGCCCCCAAGTGTATCCTTGGTTTTTGGTCTTTTGTTGAGAAACAAGCATGTCACACCACCTTCTTTTCTTTGAGAAGAGCCGACTGGGTGAAAGGTGAGCTTCTAATGGCATTTGCTGGAGGGATGAGTTAGCAAACAGGATTTCTTTCCCTACGCTTCTAGGCTGAGAGTCATGTGTTAGATGTTAAGCTTTCCCATATTGTTAAGCATTCCCTGAGATGGACCAAATACTTAGGCCTCAGAAACTGTCTTTTACAGAGGTTGTTTATAGCTTGTGTGAATGGCTAACTGTGGTGGGTAAGTCCTCCCCTGGAGGCTGACTTGGCAGGAGGTTCAGTTCTGAGCCTGGCACAAAGGTATTTGTTAACATTAACAAGCTTTAGGCAGAGCTGGGTAGTTCTTACCCATTGTCCAGCTCTGCTAAAGAATGGCTTGTTAGAGATGCTCCCTTTAAACTATAAATGCCTTAATGCAAGAATTTGATACAACTGAAGGAGCATGAGAATTGCCAGTCCAGGAGTGAGGCCATTTGGATTTAGAGAGGAGTGGAAACAAAGATTTAAATAGAAGGTCATGTGGCTTTTCCTTTTAGACTGGCCTCTCACCTAATTCTAATTTTGAATGCAAGACAATACGTTAGCTATGGTTCTGCACCTAGCAGCATTGCAACTGCAGTGCTACAGTGTATCGTAAGCCACAGTGGCACAGGGAGTTACTGTGGAGACTATGGTGGGGGGTGGGGGAGGGTTGGATGGATATATTGTAACAGGCTGTTGTGTTCTATGTAACAGCAATAAAGGATGGAACTACATTCATCTTGCAGTTCCTCCATGCTCACTTAAAGCAATTCGGTAGTAAATGTTTTTATCCTTCCTGGTATTTGCCCCCCTTCTTTGAAACCCCAGTTTTCTGTTAAGAGATTAAGTGATTTTTATATCTTATTGGCACTTTTTTTTGCCTTTATTTTTGGATTTTTACCATCTTGCTCACATTGATAAAGAGATAGGCTGTGTTTTCAAGATCACATGTAAAAAGAGTGACTTGCAGCTGTACTTTGCAGCATTAAGTGCCAGCCTCTTTATGGAATGGGAAGCTGGGAGGTTGACTCCTTGAGTTTCAGCAGCCTCAGTTTTCTTACCCGTTCAATGGTCATAATAATCCTCGTGTGTCTTATGGGCCAGGGGCCTGTGAGTGACTGTGGTATTTAGGATGATAGTGTGTATTTGGGGAGTATTGAAAGCTGTAACTTCCTGTGGTGGAAGCTGATTGTGAGTCCCTGCTCTGTAGGGATGGAGGGTGCTGTGGTATGGGAAGGGAAGATATACCATTGCCTTTGGTGTTAGAGTTTCAAAGTTAAACTTGTTTGCTGTCTTTGAAGTATAAAAAGTACTATTCAATAAAACATGTGTTTTCTTCATTCTGTAAGTTTTGAAGCAGTAATTCCTGTTATGCTTGGATTTTAAATGTCTTCTAGAGATGTTAGTGGGATTCTTGACCATCACTCCAGCTGGGAATTCATGTCTACATTCATTTTGTTTTTATAGGAAAGGTTTTTCAACCCCAGTATCCCATCCCTGGGTTTGCGGAATGTTATTTATATCAATGAAACTCACACAAGGTAAAAAGACATTTCTTCTACTTCTAATAAATCATAGAAGTTAAACTCCGTAATGCTGGTTAGTGTACTTTAATATGTACCTGTGGTTTCTAGAGTGGGTAGAATGTGAGCTTTTCTTACAAGGGCCTGTATTGAAAGATCAGAAGCAGGACAGCCTTGGGAGGCCTGTCATGGTAATTGCTGCTCTATTGTGAGCTATCCCCAGTGGTGTAAACGCCACCTGTGGTATTCTTTAACATACGCAGATAATTAACTTTTGCTAAGAAGTAGTAAGATATTTATAGGTTTGTCTTCTATGTTGTGACTGTTTCATACTTCAAAAAAAAAAATTTACAAATATGGCCAGTGGTTAGCTCAGTGGTTCTCAACCTGTGGTGCATGATGCCTTTGGGGGTCAAAAGATCATTTAATCCTGTTCACATAGCAGGTATCCTGCATATTAGAGATTTACATTATGATTCATAACAGTAGCAAAATTACAGTTATAAAGCAGCAACAAAATAATGGCTGGGGGGTCACCACACCATGAAGAACTGTGTTAAAGGGTCACAATACAAGGAAGGTTGAGAACCACTGAGATTCTTAACCTTAGCCGGATGACCTGATTATGGTTCCTGGAACCCATGACACAAGGAGAGTTCACTGTCTGCTATGTGTGCTCACCTGAGTGTGCGCTCGTGTGTGTGTGTATACATGTGTGTGTATGTGTGTGTGTGTACATGTGTGTGTGTACATGTGTGTGTATTGCATGTGTGTGTATATATATATGTGTGTGTTTGTTGGCATGTGTGTGCAGCCACACACAAACACAGTACTGGAACATCTCTGTACTGAGTGGACACTCTTTTTGTTAGTGTGCAGCCACTACAAAATGGCAGCCTTCACTGTATTTTCATGCTGTGTGTCACAATACCGTGCTCAGAGTCACCTCTCTTTCTCCTTTTACCACATCTCCCTTCTGTTGGTCCCTCTCTGAATGTTTTTTGATTTACTTACTGAAGATAATTTAAAACAGTGAGTTCTGACTTCCAAGTTTCAAGTATACAGGGATTTGGTAGATGCCAGAGAGAAAGAGGCCTTTGTTTTCCATTAAAGTTAGAGGATAAGGAAGAGTTGGAAGGCTGTGTGTTCATGAAGCAAGAGAACCAGCAGCCAAAACTACCGCAGGACTTACAGTTCTTAGAGCCTTTAACTGATGGTGGGAAGAGGTGTTCTTGGTCTGAAAAATCCTGTGGAAGGTAATCCAGGAAGCTAGTACTTGGATTCAGCTCTCCCTGGTCCTGCCCCTAAGTACGTGAAGAGGGTCTTGTCTGAGAGTGATGAGGCCTGATCACTTGTTGGATTAGCGCTTGCTTTTGTCATAGAACCACAGCCCAACATTGAGCTAACCTTTTGGGAGATGGAAGACAGTGAGGGCAGAATCAGAACCCATGCGAGCAAGTTAGTCACAGACAGTTCCAGAATTACCGACCTCAGAGTTCAGAGTTATTGACCCCACCTCTGCAATCTGCCGTCAGTGTCACTGTGAAGGAAATAACAGTGTCATTGTATGGCATTATCATACATGGTTTCAAATCACCACACAGTGAGATTTACAGCTTCTGATTCTGAAATGCATCTCTGTACCTCAGCTAATCACCACACGGTCATCATCACCTACAAGAGAATAATTTTCCCTTCGATAGACCTGCTGTGTGTTTACAGTAGGAAAACGTAGATATGTAGACGCCAGATGTCTTTGATCTGATTAGCTTTTAATTCACTTTGAAACTCAGTGCTTGTCTTGGAAGAATGCTTTAATATAAAAATTGCCTTTCTTGTTGGGAGAAGACCTCCAAGTTTACTTTATGTCATCTATAGCTAGCTCTCTGACCTGTGTGTCACCTCTGTCTGTCCGCCCACACACAGCTAATGGGTGACATCCCACTTTCTTGTCTTTGTAGTGCTATTGATAAAGTCAGACTGTTCTTTTGGGTTACTATTCAGCAAGATTAGACAATTTGAGAATGATAAATAATTTCTAGGTTTCAGTTTTACCTGAGAATATATGAAAGCAATTATTAGTCAAAATGGCTGCCTAGCATCCTGACCTCTAGGGCCATTGGCTGGAATGAATGACCTGAACTCTTTCTGTGGGTGGAAGACCACTGTGTAGTGGAGGTGTGCTGGAGCACTTGCTGAGAAGGTTTATGTGTTACAGGCACCGGGGATGGCTGGCAAGACGTCTTTCTTACATCCTTTTTGTTCAAGAGCGAGATGTCCATAAGGGCATGTTTGCCACCAGTATCACCGACAATGTGCTGAACAGCAGCAGGTGAGAGCGGGGACCACTGCTGACAAAGTGGGGACAGGGTGGATGTGGCCATGGGAGTGGAGGGGGAATTAAGCCTCTTCTGTTGGTTTCTCTGCTTCTCTCTCTAGGGCAAAGCTTGCATTTCTGAACATTAAATATTGAGTCACAAAAGTCAGGAGAGTGGAAGGCATGGCAAAGACAAAGAGGTAGATGGTCCTGGTTTGTGGACTGTGTACTGACGAGGCTTCTAGAATGTAGACAGCATGTGCCTAGGGTTCTCCGTTCAATGTTCTGTCATACTGATATTGGAGGCAACCCATTTTCTGTTTCGATAGCCCAAAGAGAAGTGTTTGGTATTCTGTCTGATGGGGTTTGAGTACTTAGACCCAAGCCCTTGTAGTAGGAAACCATTGCTAGAGTTTTCGGATTTTTGCTCTCAGAGAGACTTGTGTACCCGTGAGGGAGCCTGACGTCAGCAGACTATCAAGAGAAGGCGCTTCACACCTTCATTAATGTGCACCAATCTTAGGATAGCACGCGTCTGGCGAGGCAGTGAGGAACTGGAGTAGCCTTAGGGGAACGGAAGCTAGAAGCTTTAGATGATTCTCAGGTGCAGTGAATAACTTCAGGGGATTGTGAGTGAGCTGGGGAGAGATAGCAGCCGGGACAGAGTGATTAGGTTGCCCAAGTAGCTGCAAGCCTCCCTCAGAAGACTAGATGAAGTCAGCTGACGCTGCCTGTACTTTTAGACCCAGGGTGGCAGCCTTCCCTTCCTGATTATCAGGATTCTAGGAGTTTCAGATAATCTTGTCTCTTGGGGGAATAGTTTTCTGTCAGATAAGGGCAATCCACAGAGAGCCCCTTCCGGTGTCTTAGGCCAAGAGAGATCACGGAGAGCTTCAAAGGCTAAGGCGGTATCTAAGGCTTTCCATTTACTTTTAATTTAAAGAAGTTCACCTTGCTCCATACTTGAGGGATGGTTTTCTGAGCCCCACAGTGTGGAGTTTGAGGGTTTCTCTTCTCTGCCTCCTGTGAGTGGCAAGTCTCAGAAGTGTAGCTGGAGTTAGAGTCAGAGCTGGGGTGACTGAAAACGTGGAATCCGTAGTGTCTGTTTGTAGCTTTGTAGGGAGCCGTGTCTCTAACCCTAACAGTGTTGGGCACTGTAAGAACTCGGGACAGCATGTTAAATGAACCGTTGAGTCGTTGACAATAGAGATGTCACATTAGATGCCGAGAGAAGCATCCTGGACTCATACCCTAAATGCTTAAAACCGGCAGGTCACTGCGGTGGGGGGAGGGGGGAGGTGAGCCTTTCCTGGAGCTCAGCCTTAGAGCTCAGCGTTGGGCTCCACCTTTGTCAAACGACTGGTTCAGAAGGAGAAAAGGAACAGTAAATACTATGTCTGTTTCAGTGCTTCTCAGATAGTTTTACATGCAGTCCTAGTGAGGCAGCAACATAAACAAATGGCACATCGTGATTGCTAAAGAAAAGCCACATATTACTCTGACTTGTTTCGGTGGCTTTTTTTTTTTTTTTACTTTGCTTATTATGCTGGGTTACATACTAGATTACACAATACGTTTTCATGAAGTCTGCGTGTACCTTGAGTACGTGCTCCGTTGTGGGTTATGTACACAGGGTGGCCTTCCTTTCCCTTGTTTTGATAAAGAGTAACATGACTGGGGCATTCAGTTCCACAGCACTCACTCAGTGATCTGTGTAAATTCTTAGATCTGTCCAAATTTCTAAGGGAGCCTTTGGCTCAGGAATAAGATGCCCATCATTTCAAAGATATTATTACTGTTATGTATGTATGTATGTATGTATGAGCATTCGTCTGTATAGGAGGAGGCTATAGGAATGTCCAATCCCTTGGAGCCATTGTGAACTGCCTGACATAGGTGCTGGGAATCAAACTCAGGTCTTCTGCAAGAACAGTACATACTCTTGGCCACTGAACCATGTCTCCCGGCTCTGGCCATAAGTTTTGATAGACAACACTGGCTGATGGTTCCAAATTGTGTTTTCTCTCTCGTTGCTACACCACGTATTAAAGAGAACATTCATTTTCTGCATATTGAAGACAATGAACATTTTATTCTGTTTTTCCATCATATTCATTTATAGCTGTAGTTTGGAAAATAACTATTGTCCTGTTACATTGAATCTATTTCATTGTCTGACTTTTGCTTTCAAATCAGAGTCCAAGAGGCAATAGCTGAAGTGGCTTCAGAGTTGACTGTGGATGGATCTGCCCAGCAGCAGACCAAAGCCATCCAGAAAGTGAAAAGGAAAGCCAGGAAGATCCTTCAGGAAATGGTTGCTACCGTGTCCCCAGGGATGATCAGGTATTAGAGGGCTAGGGTAGCTTGAGGCCGGAGCCAGCCTGTTCTCACAGATAGATTGGAGCTGGTGAATCTTCCTTTCCTCAATCAAGGAAGACATGTGAACAAAGTGTACTGACGTGTTCCCGTGTTAAATCTACGCGCCCCCTTGTGAATGAGCACACAGAGGCTTCAGACTGCTTTTACCCATGCTGATGGGTGGCAGCTACTCTATTATGGGTGTCCCCTGTTCTCCTCAAATGGCTGAGTCAAGCCTCACATATCTGTGTCTTAAACTGAGGGGTCTATTGTGTTAGAAGGATCCTCTTGGTCACTAAGTTAGCCTGCCCACTCACCTTTGAAGTGCTTAAGTGCCTAGAGAAGACTGTGTTCATAGGCCAGCGCCAGCAGAGACGGCTTTGAGCAGGGTCTGTTTTAAGTGAGTGTCCCTGTTCTTCAGTTCACATACCTGAGAGCACACACACATATTTTTAAATTTGCAATACTTTTTACAAGTACTTTTACAGATTTCAATTTAAAATTAAATTTATCAGTACTTCTAGGTTGTAGATCTAGAAGCGGAGAGAGGCAAATGTAAACCGTATGCAGCTCTATTATAACACATATGTCTGTCTACATGCAGATTCAAATGTTTCTATTTCTGTCAGGCTGACTGGCTGGGTGTTACTAAAGCTCTTCAACAGTTTCTTCTGGAACATTCAGATTCACAAGGGTCAGCTCGAGATGGTAAAAGCTGCAACTGAGGTAGGATTTCGGTGCTCTGTCACTCCATTTCCTGTGTGTGGATTCTGTGCCCCATCATGGCATGTCTTCTGTGTGTGGAGTGCCGCTTGAGCTTGTTCAGAATGTCTCCTCTGTGCTGTTAGCCCTTTGAACCCATTTGGAACCCTCTGCGGGGGGGGGGGGGGGGGGGGGGGGGGGGGGGGGGGGGCGGGGCGTATCAAAAGTGCATAGAATTCCTTTTGTAATTTACCTCAAAACCATCTTGAACACACAGTCACAGGATCTTGTTTTCTACATAGGAGCATAGAGGCACAGGTAGAGGAAACTTCAACCCTCATGAACCCTCCTGGCTCTAGAACTCTCTGCTCATGTCCATGATGGTTTCTGCGATGATTTCTTCCTCTCAGCAGAGGGAGGTCTGGGTCGGCTTGAACTGTTGTGTGTTCTCCCTTGCAGTTGCTTTGTTGTCGTAGTGGAGCTTATGTCTACTGTGTAGGCACAGAAGAGTGACTGAGCATGTCTGTAGAGAGCCAGTCTTTGATTGGCCAGTGAAGGGTGACTGTAACCAAACACAGTCGGACTCCTGAGCCTTAACGTTGTGGCTCCCTTCTGCCCCAGACGAACCTGCCGCTCCTGTTCCTGCCAGTGCACAGATCCCACATAGACTACCTGCTGCTCACCTTCATCCTCTTCTGCCACAACATCAAAGCTCCGTACATTGCCTCGGGCAACAACCTCAACATCCCCATCTTCAGGTGAGAGCCGCTTGGCTGACGTTAAAGATGGTAAAAAGATAGTTTTGTAAGAGATACTGGACACATCTTTAATCTTAGTATTTGCATGCTTGAGGCAGATGGATCGATGGGTTCATATTGCAAGTTTCCAGCCTGCCAGGGGTGTATATTAAGTCTGTCTTTCAAAAATCAAAGCCAGAAACAAACAAACAAACAAAAAAAAACCCGAACCAAAACAAAAAACTAATTGTTTTGAATATGGGATTTGTTTTTATACCTGTTATAAAAATTACATTAGCCTTTTTATTGTAGAAGTAATGTTTCATTGTGTAACCTTTGCATAATACACAAAACCAAGCACTGCCCATCACTGTTATCTCTGTATTTGATATGGGCTAATCTGTGGAGTGTGCCCAGGTGAACTTGAAGGACAGTGTCAGGCAGCGAAAGGCTATTAAAGGGCAGTGGACCAGACCTGTCAAAGGAAGCTGAGGGGATGGCATGGCACCATGGTATCTAATGTCAGCAAGGGTGACCCTGCTGTTACTTTGACCTCATGATGCAGAGAACCCAATATAGCACTTTTATAGGGCATTTCCAGAGGTTTCTGTGGTTTTCACTCAAAGGGAACAGTGTGTTGTAAGGCAGAGACTCAAGGCATGGTTGTAGGAAAGTGAAAAGCAGGTAGGTGTGTTGGAGTGTGTACTAGAAAGCCCACGGAAAGGCCAGAGGCGGGAGGGGCAGCTGCACAGAGAGGGCTAGGTCAACACACCGAGGATGGGAAGCTCCTGACTGACCACGTGCTCAGACCCGTATGTCGACTGCTCACTCTGGACTTGAAGAACTTGATTCTGCTTCTGTTGTGAGAGTTCAGGCAAATGTTGAGGGCTTATATTAGTATAGCTGCTGTGTTCTTGAAGAAGAGAGCAGAGACAGACTAAGAAGGAATTAGTAAACTGAGTTCCTAAGTCTCCATTCGGGGCTCAGCAGAGAGTGGAGGAAGACTAGATCTGCTGTCTACGGCATCTGGTCACTGAGGAGGTGCTGGCAAGGACTGCATTGAGCTTGTCAACTGCACTCTTAACTTCCAAGGCAGCATGCAGCACTGGGGTCAGCTCTGGAACCTGACAGGAGTTACAGTGTGCTGAATGCAGAGAGAAACTGCAGGGAGCAGCCAGTCGCTGGGCAGGCAGGGCTTTCCACAGTGGCACTCAGTCTAGCCGTCAGCCTTACTATGTGGGATGCTCTTCCTGGCCCTTCATGCTGAGTTCTCTAGATACCCAGAGTCTGCAGCTAGCCAGACCTGAGTGAGCAGCAGAAGAGAAGCCACTATTTCTGCAGTCAGTGGAGTTTATCCTGGTGAACTTTAAGCAAATGTAGACAAGACACACTTAGCCTTTGCTGTCAAGTAGCTTATCATGTAATGGGGAACATAACAAACCGTTGGCATAGTAACACTGACAGGAACCTACCGGACAGATGTGTCTGCACAGGGGCTAGATACCAGGTCACTCCACAACATCTTTCCCATCAGCAGGGAACCAAGAAACTAATTAGAAAATTATCAGATAGGTTGACTGGGGAGCTGGTACAGTGGGTAATCTGCTTGTCAGGCTTGAGGCCCTGAGGTCTATCACTGGAATTGTGCAGAAGAAGTCTGGGTGTTGTGGTGTCTGCTGTGGTCCCCATGCTGTGGAGGCAGAGGCAGGTGGCACCTTGTGCTATCTGGGAGCCAGCCTAGCCTGTTTGTCTGTTAGGACTCAGTCTCAGAATGTAGATAGATCTTGATTAATGACACTTGCGGTTGTGGGTTGTATGCTGGCCTCACATGTGCCTGTGCACGCACGCATGCACACACGCATATACACACGTGTGCATGGGCAGAAAGTCCTGGTTTCAGCACTGAGGTGGCTTGTCTTCTGGGACTCTCATTTGGTCAGAGTTGCTCAGAGACTCACTCTCTCCAGATCTGGTTTTCAGGGAAGCTTTTATAAGTGCCAGGCAGTTCTCATTTCTTGTAATTCAGTGTTTCTCTTGAGGAGCTCCTGGCAGCTGTTGGCTAGCTTTCCAACATAGCAGAGATCAGTGTTTTCTTTTGTCTCACTTAAGTCTTCATAGTGACAAAACACATCTCAGGCTACACTGTTCACTCACTGAATTTATTCTGAAGAATTTCAGAGTGATTCTATAGTTCACCAATATCTTACCTTGATTTCCATAAACAGACTCAATTCAATTTAAGGAGACCAGAATGTTAACATTTAATATAGTATTGTTACTTATACCAGTGCAGATACTAATATTTATTTGAAAACAGTTTCTCTTTTGGAAAAGACTGGGACAAGGCTGTAAACTTAGGAAAACTGGCCACAGACTTTCAGCTTCATGTCTAAGCTTACCAGTGCTGCAGAAAGAGGCCTGGGGCTGGGGGCAGCACTGTTCTATCCCTGTATGTACAAGTGAACCTAGTTGTTTGTTTGTTTGTAAATATAGAGGCCAGAAAAGCAGGTCTGATTCCCTGGAACTAGCGTTACGGAAGGCTCTAAGCTGCCATGTGGGTGCTGGGAGTTGAACTCAAGTCCTTTGGAAAAGTAGCCAGTGATCTTCACTGCTGAGCTGTCTTTCCAGCTCCTGTTTCCTGTTTGTAAAGATGGTTATACTTGGTTTCAGTTTGGTAAAATTATCCTTGTCTCACAGGGACCCTCTTTTAAAACATCAGTTATTTGAGAATATCTTCCCTAGGGAATATTTATTCATTTTACAAATTTGCCATGGTCAGTGTCTGTATGCCTCAAACTCTGTCTGAGGATCATGTGCGGGGTTTTGTTTTTAAAAATACCCTTTTTCTTTTTTTTTTTTCCATCTTTGAGACAGGGTTTTACTCTGTAGCTCTGGCTGTCCTGGAGCTAGCAATGTAGACCAGTTTGAACTGGAAAATCCTATTGAGTGCTGAGATTAAAGACATGCACCACCATGCTTAGCCATTGGTTAACTTTGTTTTTTTTGACAGTTTCATAGATGTATTTAGTGTATTCTGATCATTCTCTTCCTCATGCCCTCTCTTATCTTCCCCTCGTCTCTGTTAACCCAACCTCCTCCCTACCAGTCAGCCCTGTTCTCAGGTTCCTGACATTTAGTTTTGTTTTGTGATTCATTTATATTTCTTTTAAAAAATTGAAGATTTCTTTCTTTCATGCGCATGAATGTTTTGCCTGCATATATGTTTATGCACCACTTGTGTACCTGGTGCCCAAATAGTTCAGAAGATGGTGTCGCTCCCTTGGTACTGGAGTTACAGATGGTTGTGGACCACTGTGTGGGTACTGGGAATAGAACCAGGGTCCTCAGCCAGAGCAGCTAGTGCTCTAGCGCCTGCCCAGCCTGTGACCCATTTGGTTTAGCTAGAGCTGTGCATCTGTGTGATGGGATGGAACTGCCCCCTAGAGCCTGGAGAAATCCCCAGTGGACACAGAGAAGGCAGTGACTCAGAGTCTCCCTCAGGCCCCTGTCCTTACCTCTGTGGATGGCCTCATCAGATTCCTGTCTGTCTCAGAAGTTACAGTGCAGTACTGCTCGAAATCTGAGGAGTAGGTGAGACACGTCAGCAACATGGAAAAGGAACCCTGCGTTTCCATTGTCAGCATTCAAATGGCACGTGTGCTTCTGTCTGGATGGCAGTGCTTTGGAGTATCTTGACGTTAGAGTCTTTTTTTTTTTACATTTTTCCTTATAAATAATTCGTGCATTCTTGAATTTGCAGTACCTTGATTCACAAACTTGGGGGCTTTTTCATAAGACGGAGGCTCGATGAAACCTCAGACGGACGCAAAGACATTCTGTACAGAGCGTTGCTCCATGGGGTGCGTATGGCCTTTAACTGTCCTCTACTGCACAGCGTTAGCTGTCACAGGGGAGCGACAGAGACATGTTGGGTTTGGGAGATTACTGCCTCGGTGCGTGTCCTCGCCCAAGTGCTGGTGTGCTGGGATCCCTGGCTGTAATGGTTGCAGGGGAAATGTTAGGTCACTGGTGACATTAGAATTCCTTTCTGTGCTTTGTCTTAGGATTTAACTGTCCTGTGCTCATCTGAGTGGCTCAGTCTTATGCTCATGTCTGATTCTCTTGTACCGCAGCACATAGTTGAACTCCTCCGACAGCAGCAGTTTCTGGAGATCTTCCTGGAAGGCACCCGCTCCCGCAGTGGCAAGACCTCCTGTGCCCGGGCAGGGCTGCTGTCAGTGGTAGTGGATACTCTGTCGTCCAACACCATCCCTGACATACTTGTCATACCCGTGGGCATCTCGTACGACCGGATAATCGAAGGTCACTACAATGGGGAGCAGTTGGTAAGGAGCCAGCCTGCAGGTCGTCCTGGCCTCTCAGGCTTTTATGTGTAATGATACTGTTTTGTCAATCATTTAATGATGGCACTTTGCTAAACGTGACTTTTGTTGCCTATCTGAAACCTGCCTGGGCGGGCATGGTGAAGCCTTTATCTCATCTGTCAGCTTGGGAAAGAGTCTCATGTGGTGTTCTCCTGGGCTGGAGAAGTGTGGGGATTCCTGTGTCGGCGCTGGCTGGCTTTGACCGTGGGGTTAGAGGTGTAGAGCCACTGAGTTGCAGTCTCAGTGTTGAGGACCTGTGAATTTTAGAGAAGCCTGAAGACTGGCTGGACCATGTTAGCAAAGCAACGGCAAGCCAATCTGGGAAATGGGAGAACGTTTTTTAGTAGACTTTTACCGAAGGAGGCACTAGTCATAAGCACTTAGATTGGATCAAAATGAACTCACCTACATGACTAGTACTCAGATGAAGGAATGATATTATCACGACCCAGAAATCTTACCGGCTCCCCTCCTGTTAGCCTCCTTCAGGAGAGTCACTTGTCTAACCTCGTATAAGAAGATGGTTTTCCCCATGGTTGAACTTTATGTAATAATAACGTGTGTAGTTCTTTGGTATCTGATTACCTTGTGAGCACAGGCATGTGTGAGGTTCGGCCACTTGCTGCACACAGTTTAGACTTCATAGTGGGGAGATGTTCCGCTGTGTAAGGAGATCACGCACACAGCTTGGAGCTCATCTTTTGCTACTTTGTGGGTTCTTTCTTCTGCCTTTTCCACCTTTTGCTTTCATCCTTTCAACCGCCTCACGTGATAGGAGAGACAAGGAAAGGATAGAAAGGGAAGGAGCGGGGCATTGTCCTTCAACTACTTCCTGCTGATTAGGACTGTGACTTCCTTGGGACAAATTTGCTCTTTATTATCAGGATATCTAACTTCTTTCTTCTTCTTTGTGCCTGACTAACAACCATGACTGATAACAACCCGCAGCAACCAACCAACGACCCCCATGCCTCTTGGAGCCCTAGCATTTATATTCTTTCTAAAAAGTCCCTAGAATCTTAAAAGTGACATAATCACAGAAACTACCTGCAGCTGGCAAAACCATGGCCCGGATAGAACACGAGACAAACCATAGTCAGCTGCTGTGGACAGTCTGAAGCAGCTCCATATCCCACACCTGGGATTAAAAATGAAACCATATTCTTACAGTATTTCTGTGTTTTTTTTTTTTAAAGAAATCAGAATTCCAAAATTGTCACTAGAACAGTTCTTCAAAAGAAGTCTCAACACACTTCCCTTAGAGCCTTTTGGGTTCACTTAGGTATGTGCGTACTCAGGAGGGGGGTGATAGTTTACATCTGAGTATACTCAGTTCATAAGGACTGCCCACATGTGAGCCCGCACGTGAGGCACAGCACTCACATGGCCTCGACAGTTAACCACTCTGAGCAGCAGTGTGTGTGTGCCCGCCCGGGGGCTCAGCCTTGTTTATGTAGAGTGGAGTCTTGGACAAAGTGTGTGCTTCTGAGGTTCTGCCTCCAGGGTTGTATTCAGGACTGTTGAGGAGGTCTAGGCCAGTTGACAAGCTGAGATGTTAAAGAGTAAGGGCACGCCTGGGATTTGAGCTGCTAATGGCTTTCAACAGTGTGTGCCCTTGTGGGATGGCATGTTAAAGCCAATGTGTTGTAAGTGTCTCATTAGTGGAGAGGCCACCCTGAGGCTGAATGGTGCTCAGTGTATCTTAGACTCTAATGACTCCCTCTCAGGTCAGTGGCCTTTGTCCTCCTGTGTCGTCCTCAGTCCTTCCAGAGCTCTTTCCAGGACAGTGTGTCATTTTGTTATTCTCTGTTCTGTCACTGCGTCTTTGTGAATGTGTACTAAAAATACTAGCATAAAGATCTCTCTTTGTTCAGAGCCCTTCCCTGAACGACAAGACACATCTTGTGAGCATCTTTGAACACTAGCTGTTTTCTGCCAGGTTTCTGTTGAAGCAATCAGACATGTCCAGCCTGAGCCTGTGGGCCACATGATCCCAGGGTAGCTGTGAATGTGGCCGGCCCACTGCTCCTAGTCACGCTTCTTTATTTACTTATCGTGTTTCTTTTCAAGTTGGAACTCAAAGTTTTTACTAAAAACTTTTTCTAGCCAAGCATAGTGTCTCCTGGATATCTCTCAGCAGTTGGGAGGCTGCAGGAGAGTTGCTTTGGATAGCACAATGAGACCCCGTCTCAAAAGGATCATCAGCAGCAGCAGGGCACAACACTCTCCTCTTCATGTTTGCTTAGGGCAAGCCCAAGAAGAACGAGAGCCTCTGGAGTGTGGCAAGGGGCGTGATCAGAATGCTGCGGAAAAACTACGGCTATGTCCGAGTGGATTTTGCACAGCCGTTTTCCTTGAAGGTGAGAGTGTGCCAAGGCTAGCATTTTAAACAGTTGCTTTTAACTTTTGAAGATCAAAATATAGTTTATATGTTGTTATGAAGGATTTTTTTCCCTTTCTTTTAATTTTCCAGGAATATTTAGAAGGCCAAAGTCAGAAACCTTTATCTGCCCCCCTCTCTCTGGAGCAAGCACTGCTACCAGTGATCCTTCCTTCAAGGTAGGCTCTGGGCCTGTGGTAACTCGACTGTCCATAACTTTCCCTACATTGCCTAGGACAGGAGGTTAGCTTAGGAAGAGGTCTCCTATCTCATTGCAGTAGCGCTCTTCTTGATTTGATAAAAGACTTGGAGATGCGTGCTCCTTCACTCTTTCTCTCTGTCTGTCTCTCCTGTGTGTGTATACAGACTTTGTCTAATTATGTGTAAAACCTTTTTGATTTTGTGAATCTTGTTGGATTATTTGATTGATGCTTTTGAATATGTTAACTAGATTTTTTGGGGAGTTGCTCGAGTTATGCATATTGAGTGAGATACATGGAAAAATGTTTGATAGTAATTGAATTTTCCAGAACTGAAAATACATTGTAATTTAGAGTCCTAAATTTGAGTTTTCAACAGTTTTAAAACATCTCTTGCTTTCTCCATTCATTCTGCCAGTGAGTTTGAAGTAATATATGATTAATAAATGAAGTAGTCTGTCAGAAAAAAATACATTAGGATCTACGTTGTAGAGGAAAACAACCCTGAGAAATGATTTATTTATCATTTAAATTTAAAATGTGTAATGATCAGAGCTATTCATAATTTAGAAACTAGTTTTGTATTGTGTGCCTTATGAAGCATAAGGCTAGGTGTGCCAGCCCAGCCGTCTGAGTGTATGCCCTGTGTATGCCAGCCCAGCAGTCAGAAGGCAGGAGGGGTGCTGCAAGCTGGAGGCTGGCCTTGTGCACACAGTGAACTTTAGCCAGTCTGGGTTGATTTCTCTCTTCAGACCTAATGATGCTGCAGATGGTCATCAAGACATATCCACTAATGAGTCCAGGGACGCAGCTGACGAAGCCTTCCGAAGAAGGTTGATTGCAAACCTGGCCGAGCACATTCTCTTCAGTAAGTACAGCTCCACACTTTCTGCTGACACAGCCTGTGCTCAGGAGCAGGTCCTGAGGACCTGAACATAGTCATCGTGAACTGAGGTGCTCCTGAGGACCTGAACATAGCACTGTGGTCATGAAATGAATGAGTGTAGAGTTAGGATTGGCGCCTAACGTCGTGACTTCAGACCTGCTCTTCCCCTGCTCATGGTTTTCACCATGGGGACCCACAAGGACAGTAAAGTAAGCCCATGGTGTGCCATGGCATACAGTCCAGGCCCCTTAGAGCTCCAAAGTGGGCCTGCATTTTGGCTCTTGGTATTTCATTAAAGACATCTTGTTTACTGACCTAGCCTACTTGCTCTGGGTTGAAGGTGGTTCTGTCTAAGAATGTGGCCTCATGGTTAGTGATTGCTCTGAGGCTTCATTTTACCAGGACACTGGCAAATCCAGCTGTATTTCCACTGTAAACCACAGTTACAGTGACCATAGTAGAAGCCATGGTTAGCTCTACACGCTTCTGTTTAAAGCTAAGCACTTTCAAGGCTTTGTGTAAGTTAGAGCAAGGCCAGCTAACACTCTGTTTTTTTCCCAGCCGCCAGCAAGTCCTGCGCTATCATGTCCACCCACATTGTGGCCTGTCTGCTCCTCTACAGACACAGGCAGGTATGTCTTAATGCTCCTTAGTACTCTTCAGTAGGAAGCCTGGGTGTTTGTCAGCCTGTTCTAGGCTGAGACTATGAGATGAACAGAGAGAGAGAAGGTAAGCATCCTGGCCTGAGCCCACCAGCCCAGTGAGGGATAAAGCCAGACTGTAAATACATGCAATGGATGGATAGCATTTCTGGTTGCTGTAGTCAATGGAAATAAGGCATATTTCAGGACACAGTATGCATTCTGCTGGAGAAGAGTTTCCAGGCAGTTTGCTCTATGTGTTAGAGCCCCTCTGTCCTCTCACTGAAGGCTTGTGTAGCTCTGCCATGCAGAGACCATGTCTACCATGTTAATTGTCATGCTCTTCAAATGAGTGCTTGTGATGTGTGTTTAAAGCAAAGGGAATCCTCACGGACACTCACACTCCTGTCAGACTGCATCCCCTTCCCTTTGTGCTCAGTTTTGTGATGTGACGTCTGCTCATGACATTCCTGGGGGGCAGCTTCTCAGTGCCTTTCCTACTTGCTCATGTTGCTGGTCTGGGCCTGTCTCTGTGGGTGTCAGCAGGATAGCCATAGCAGGAAGAAAATCTGGGGAAATCAGGCTTTCTGATGCCACAATCCACTTTTGTCTCTCTCTAGGGAATCCATCTCTCCACGCTGGTAGAAGACTTCTTTGTGATGAAGGAGGAAGTCCTAGCTCGAGATTTTGACCTAGGCTTCTCCGGGAATTCAGAAGATGTAGTCATGCATGCTATCCAGCTTCTGGGGAACTGTGTCACAATCACCCACACGAGCAGGAAGGATGAGTTTTTTATTACTCCCAGCACAACTGTCCCATCAGTCTTTGAACTCAACTTCTACAGCAATGGTGTACTTCATGTCTTCATCATGGAAGCCATCATAGGTACATTGGGGCCTGGATCCCATGGTGATGCCCGATTGGTTTAGATGCCAGCCCCTTGCTCTAGAGAATGCAGCACTGGAGTTTACTCTGGCAAAAAGGTTGCCTACTGAGTTACCCTGAGTAGTACCGAGTTTCTTACTGTGGAGGTGAATTGAAAGAGTTGTGGGGAGAACAGAGGGACTGAGCTTTCTTAGTTGGGACCTCACAGAATGGGATTCTTTGGGGCTCTAGCTAAATTTCCCCAGCAACTGCAGCCATTTTTATAATTTGTTAATAGGCTCTATTGGTAATTTAAGAGTCAAAGTTTCTCTTTGAGACCTAGCACTGGTGACTCCAGGTTGCCTGTATCTCCTCAGCTTGCAGCATTTATGCAGTCCTGAACAAGAGGGGCTCTGGAGGGTCTGCTGGAGGCCTCGGGAACCTGATCAGCCAGGAGCAGCTGGTGCGGAAGGCCGCCAGCCTGTGCTGCCTTCTCTCTAACGAAGGGACCATTTCTCTGGTGAGTGAGGTGGCCCAGGGTCTACCCAGCTTTTGGTTATTGCGTTCCTGGATGAAAGACATACCCACAGTCTTAATATTTACAACACCCTAAACAGCACAATAGCTGGGCAGCCGCCTACCCTCCATGCTGCTAGAGTCTACTTTACGTTGATAACCCTGAGTTATTACTATTTACCATGTTCCATCTGGGCTGCTCTTAGCTCCAATTGGGCAGCCCTCAGGCCACACTTTCTTGACCCTTAACCCAAGGTGGCTTCCCCTTCCTCCTCTCCTGCACCTTCTTCCTCCTCTGGGTCCTCTCCTTACAAGCCACAGAAACCTAACCCCACCCGTGTCTCTTCTGCCAAGCTATTGGCTGTTGGCATCTTTATTTACCAATCAGAATTAAGTTGGAGACAGGGTCACTCAGTGTCTTACCTGCTTCTGGGGCACAGTCTTAGGGGCCTCAAGTTAGCATAAGAATACGAGCAGCTTTAGGCCAACTCACCACAGAGGCGCCTCCTTGCTTCCTGATCCTTCCTTAATTGTCTGTATGCAAGTGGGAGAGGCCTTTAGTTTTCTCTCAGAACCTTTCCCCATCCATGCAGCTTTCTGTTCCGAAACCTCTGAGTTTCAGGGACACTCAGCTAGTCTGGTCTTGACTGTCTTGGCTTTTGTTTGGCTCTGCAGCATGAGAGACTGTTATAAGCCCTTAACTGTCCGGTGTAAGTTGTCAGTAACTAGCACACCTACTTGTTTCTGGGTGTCAGAACCCCAAACGATAAGTGGGTGAGCCCCAGAAGTTCAACACCTTCTCAGCTTTTACATTCAGAAGCTCAAAAGTCTGAGTGTTCAGTTTACCACAGCCCTGCACTCGGTGACATTTAAAATGCAGCCTATTACTAAGCAGATTTGGGATACTTGAACCATGTAGAATCTATGTTTGCATGTACTGTTCTTTTTATTTCATATGACTGTATCTTGGGACGAGTGCGACCATTTCTAGTGCGTTCTTCTTGAACACGTTCATTGTGTGTGGTTGGCACTTGGGTTGCAGATCAGGGGGTATGAGTAGTCAGGCTCCTGAAGTGGGCCTCGTGTTTCTTTCGAGTCTCCTCTGAATCACTGTTTCTTCTTTTGTTACTTGTGTGAGCTATCTTCATTGTAAGATAGCTCTTACATAGAGATCATCTTAAGACAGAAGAAACAAAATGTCCCAAAAGTCCAAAATGTTGGTCCTTCTGGGTTCATGCCACTGAGGACATTGAGCTCAGTAGCTTTCTCTGTTGCTGGGGACACACTAAGGGTACTGTCACTCATGGGAAGGGTCTTTTCTCTGGCTTTGTCATGACCATTTATCAAGACCGTGGACATCAGAGATCATAGAACTTTTTCAGGGGGTGAATAAGGTGGTGGAGTCTTTAAGAAAAGTATGGGCTGACTCACCTTTAAGTGGCTTTTTTTTTTTTTAAGCCCTGCCAGACTTTTTACCAAGTTTGTCATGAGACAGTAGGCAAGTTCATCCAGTATGGCGTTCTCACAGTGGCAGAGGTAAGGGAAACAGCCTGCCTTTCTTTTCTTTATTTAGTTTCTTGCTCTTCATTTTTATTTTCTACCAATTATCTATTTAAAACAGTGTCCTAGCTACTTTATCCAGTAACTATACTTGCTATGTGCTATATCCAGACGGTAGCGAGGGGCGGTGAGAATGAGCAGATGTCTGAGGATTGTTTAATATTTTGATTTCTTTTGTAAGTGGTATTTTCTAGATTAAACCATATCTTAGTTTGATCTCTGGCATCCAGAGGTTGACCCTGGGATGTGACATGAAGCATAGCAGGTGCTCGTAGCTTGTGCACAGTCCATTTTCCTCTCTTGAGATCCCACGTCTTGTCTAATAGCTTTAGTGTGGTTCGGAGGGACTGGGAAACAGCTCTCCGCTCAGAAGATATGGAAGTTCCATCTTGTATTTCCCCAACCTCCATCTGTCCTCCCTGCTGCCTCACAGGTGGTTTGTTTGGGAAAAGTTTGGAATTGTGCATGAGGGACGCACAGCTGAGGGGGTCAGGTAGGCTCTGAGGGACGCAAGCTGAGAGGGTCAGGCAGACTCTGAGAAGGGGAAGCTTCGTTGGAGTTGGTTGGTCAGTCGATAGGTTGGTCGGTCAGTCAGTTGGTCTGTCAGTCAATCGGTCAATCGCTTGGCTGTGTGCCTAGGAATCTTATTTACTGTCTGCTGTCTTCTTGGCATAGCAAGATGACCAGGAAGATGTCAGTCCTGGCCTTGCAGAGCAGCAGTGGGACAAGAAGCTTCCAGAACCTCTGAACTGGAGAAGTGACGAGGAAGATGAAGACAGTGACTTTGGTGAGGAGCAGCGAGATTGCTATCTGAAGGTACTTTGTGAGGGATTCTGGGTAGAGAACAGTGAGATGTTAGGTTTATGTTGCAGCTAGGTAACAGGGACTGGTGACTTCCTCATGTCCAAAGTTCTTGTGAACCAGCTCTAACTGGCTCTGGTACCTTTCACTGAGTAAAGTCACTAAAAATCAGTCCTTAAATTGTGTAGCATGGGAGCTGGTCCACAGACAGGGAGCAGGATTGGGAAAGCCTGGATGAAGGAAGGAGGTGACTTTCAGCCTCCAGGGATGTCCAGGCCTCACGGGACTCCCACCCTGCCCCAGCTCTCCACAGGGCAGTGACTTTGTTTCCAAGTGACACTTAGGAACTCCCTGTCTTTCCATTTGGTTTTTACCAGTCTCACTGATGGACAGTGGTCTCGCTTCATGCACTTGAATACATACCTTCTGTTCCCTGCTGTTGCACACACGAGTGTTTATTATGCTTGTATGTCTTTGAGGGCTCAGCCCCTAGACCAGCTGTTTTAAGTGATGAGAATTTGTACAATCCTGTCAGTTAGTTAGGATGATTTTATTCTAGATGACTATTGAATGGACATGCACCTCAAATCCTATAGGAGTGAGTGATTGCCCTGAAGAGCACTCTGCTCCCAGCTGATCTTTCCTAGTTAGCCACGTGCTGGAGCCGCAGGCTGCTTTCATGCAGTGCTAGTGGGAGGGACATCTTAAGTACTGGCTTCTCCCAGAGTTCCCCAGCAGCTGTCTCTGCTTTCCCTCCCTTCCCCGTGACCTCACCTCCGCTCACTCTCTCAGGTGAGCCAGTCCAAGGAGCACCAGCAATTCATCACCTTTCTTCAGAGGCTCCTGGGGCCCCTGCTAGAAGCCTACAGCTCTGCTGCCATATTTGTCCACAACTTCAGCGGTCCAGTTCCTGAGTCTGAGTACCTGCAGAAACTGCACAGATACCTTATCACCAGGACGGAAAGGAACGTTGCGGTATATGGTATGTACAGTCTCATTTTGGCTTCTTTTGAAACTATTTCCCCAAACCAAAACCAAAACAACAAAAACCCAAAAGCTGGGTGGTGGTGGCATGTGCCTTTAAACTCAGCACTTAGGTGGCAGAGGCAGGTGGATCTCTGGGAGGTGGAGGCCAGTATAGTTTACTGATTGAGTTTGAAAACCAAACCAAACCAAACCAAACCAAACCAAACCAAACCAAACCAAACCAAACCAAAAACCAAACTGTTGTGGATTGGTTCTAATGCTATTTGTGTTAATTCAGCTCTCGAAATCACATGAGAACTGCATGTTTGCACTGAGGGTCCCTGCCGCAGTTGGCTCTGATCAGGAAATAAAGTTGCCAGTGGCCAATGGCTGGGCAGGGAGACAGCGGCCGGACTTTTAGGATTCCCAGGAAGGGACCGAGGAAGGAGGAAAAGGGCATTTCAATATGAGAAGAATGTAGGAGGTGGACCACACTGGGAAGGTGCAAGAGGGAGAGACAGCCAAAATATAGATGCAAGGGGAAAGTGGCCTCAGGAGGGCTGCCCTGAAGGGCCCAGGGCAGCAAGGATAAAATATAGACTTAGTGTTAACTCAGGAATATCGGAGGGGAGTGTATTAGCCATATGGAGGTTCAAGAGTGGCCCAGCCTTTGAGCTAGTTAAGGCATATTAAAATATAAAGGTTGTGTGTTTGTATCTTTTTGTATCATGTTGTATCATTTTGGATCCAAAGTATTTGGGTGGGTAACAGGAAGTACTTGCACACCCACCGGGACATAGAGCAGATTTAATAAATACTGCTACACCAAACACACCAAAACCCCTCACTCTCCAAAACAAACCTGTTTTCCTGTTACTACATAAGTTTGTTAATTTTAGGAAATTGGGAAAAAGGTACAGTTATGTTGACCTCTCGTTGCATAGATCTGCCATGGTATGCCATACAAACTGGGTGGTCCAGTTATGTGTTGTGTGTCTGCCTTTCGCCAGTTAACGTGGTGACTGAGGCTCATACATGTTGCCTGTGGTTCTGTCTGGTGTGTAATCTTTCACTGTACGCATGCCACCTCCTTCATTCTGCTGCTCTGCTGCTGGGTGTTGGAGCTGTTGGCAGCGAAGAGCTTGTTTGCATAGTGCTGCCCCGCACCTGCCTGGATCCCAGTGGTGGGCCGGCACAACTGGGCGCGTGCCCGTCAGCGTTCAGAGCCAGCAGCGGCGTAGAGATAGTCAGTCTCTTTGTGCCACTTTGGGGACACCTGTCCCAGGTCCCTGGCTAATCAGTGGCAAACGTGGGGTAGAGATCTTGTTTCCTGCCCTCTAGACTTGAGCTTCCTACGCTCACAGGCCTAACAGTCATCTTCGCATCACTGTCTCCTGTTAGCGAGCCAATATATACCACCGTGTCTGGTTCTCACAAAACTGCAAGATGGGTGCTGGGTGCATCTGTCTTCCTTCTCTCCTCCCCGCCCCTTCTCCACTCTCTGCTTTCTTTAATAGATGGCAGGATAGGTTTAAGGACATGGCCAGTCATTGGAAGAAAGCTGTGGTAGTTGCCATTAGCAGGAGAAGCTTGCTTCAGTCCGGACTCCTGCTTTCATGTTCTTTGTAGCTTTCTGTGTAGAGACCGTGTGCCGAGCCTGAACACTGACAGGCCTTATTGTCTCTCTGCAGCCGAGAGTGCCACATACTGTCTTGTGAAGAACGCTGTGAAAATGTTTAAGGACATCGGGGTATGTGTCCACGACCACACTGCTCTGTGTTGTGTAGCTCTGATCTGTTGCTCTGCATCTGTGGGGTCCAGAAGAAGTACTTTGTGCTGGGATCCTTGGGAATGTATTTCTTAGTGTGAGGGTTGGGCGCAGGGCATGCTGAAGGCTTCTTTGAATTCTCCAGGATTTTGCTGACTTCATATTCATTCCCAAACTATAACAGACATTAGGCAAGTTCAGTGTAAACTATTCCACATTCTATTATTTTTTTGCATGCTTACTAATATTGCTAGAATTAGCCTCAGGTTTCTTCACCTTCATGTATGGTAAGTTTCACACAGCTGCATGTGGCCTTTTATAAGGGACTGTTTCTGACCATATTCCAATGTAAGTTGTGAAACCCAAGGCACTCGATGGACTCCCCCTTTACACATTGTCACATGTCTCCATGCTTGCATCTGACCCACACCTCCATGCTTGCATCTGACTCACACCTCCATGCTTGCATCTGACCCACACCTCCATGCTTGCATCTGACCCACACCTCCATGCTTGCATCTGACCCACACCTCCATGCTTGCATCTGACCCACACCTCCATGCTTGCATCCGACCCACACCTCCATGCTTGCATCCGACCCACAC